CTTATCATCCCAGTTCGCAGATTACAAATTTTGAATATTCACAGGAATCTTTTTAAAGAAGCGTATACACTTCTTTTTCTTTTACGGGGCAATGTATAAAAGAATTTGCTTTATAGACTTGTGAAGTTTATTTTTGTTCCTCGTATTTGAAATTACGTTTATCAATATTTTTCGTGACAAATATTCTATTATATTTAACCTAAATTACATTTTCAGAAATGTACTGTGATAACCTAACTGTGACTTTGACCTGTGTGCACTGCGACTTAGACCTTTTCAAGGCGAGAGAATAGGCGTTATTAGGTGTGCATGCTTCAACTTCGCTTTCCATCAGGTGAGATAGTGGTCAATTGCGCACTTTTTTTCCAGAAACCTAACACCACGTTTCTGCAGGACAAATATTTGAATTTGCAATCACCAGCTGAATTTGAATAGACCATCGTAATTTTTTTTTCTGTAATTTATTAAATAAAGTTTAATTGTTCACACTCACATTGAAATTGAGAGAATGGCAAATTATTATATTTAAAATAATGGTATCTATGTGTTGCTATATATAAAAATGCAGTTTTAATAGACGTAACGCATCAGATATGTTGAAGCGTAATAAGCCCATATCATTATATATGTATGTCAAATATGGCGAGAACATTTTGCATGCGCCATAAAATGTGTCTTTAGCGTCTACCTATTACTCGATTAACTATCCAGCGCCTGTATAGTGCCGACCAGAAAACCTCAAAAAATTATTACATATTACGTTTCGAGGTCTTAGGTTTTCGCGATTGTTACACATAGGAAATAAAACTGTTTTTCCGGTAGAGGGAGAATAAAAAAAAGAATAGAGAAGCTTCTCGCGTATACTGAAAAGGGATACCAACAGAGTACCTATAAATTTTGGATTGTCTACTTTTAAAATTTTACCCCGTTAAAGAAATTGAAATGAAAATGAAGCCGTGGTAACCTAATGGTTTGACCTACTGCCTCTCAAGCAGAGGGTCGTGGGTTCGAATCCAGACTCGCACCTCTGAGTTTCTCGGAATTTGTGCGAAATTTAATTTGAAATTTATCATGAGCTTTTCGGAGAAGGAAAATATCGTGATGAAACGTTGAAGAAGGTTAAAAGTCCTCGGAAACGTGTGCAGTCCCCAACCCTCATTGGGCCATTGTGGTGGACTGTCGCCCAAGCACTCGCCTGAAAGGAGACCCGTGCCCACCAGTGGGACGTATAAATGGATTCGTGATTATGATGAAATCTGCCGAGTCTAAGGAGGGAGAATCCGCCAGACCACATTTAGCTTGGTTGAGTTTAGTAACCAAATAAATTAATTATGACAAATCATTACTTTTTTATTGGCCCTTGAACAGTATTAACTTAGTATACATATTTCGAACTGAAAAAGTATTGAAAAGTAAAAGGAATACAATATTTAAAATGACCCATAAATTGGGGAAAAGATAGTGGCAAAAGCACGGTATCCCTAAAATCAGCTTAAGCCTGTCTAATTTAATTTATACGTTATTTATTTGATCTCTCTTTCTCGCGTATCATAACCACTGCTGGCAGAAGCGAGATGGACATATTTGACAAAAGTAAGATATTCTCCTTATTTTAGGAGGTTTATACGCTGCAAACAAAAATCTTTCAATCAAGAAAAACACTTCAAATATCATCTAAAATACATGAAATCGTAATACTCCAGGCTTGTAAGAGTATTTCACTAGTAATTCATACAAGAAAATTACACTTTTTTTAAATACAAGAAAATACAATCAATGGATTGTAATGAAAAATTAAAACTTACGTGTGAAAGGTTATGTCGGGACTTTTTCGTTCCGTACGGCTTTTACAGCCTAAAATATAACAATGCACCATTATTGTAAGCAGCAATAATTGTCAATTACTACAAAGGAACGCACTGTGATTCCCCCATAGGCCATAAATCAAAAAAAATCATTGGCTTATCCCGGTTAGATCAACTCACTAAGTTAGTAACTAGTTAACAAGCTTCCAAAAACTATAAATATCAATGTAATTAGGTCACGTTATCATTCACTTTTGTGCATCGGAAGTGAGCGCATCGCGAGACTAATTATCACCACGTGTGAGTCATCGAAACTTAATCACTTTGTTTTTGAGTGTCACTATTCCAAATCAAGTGTTTACGTGTTGTGAAAGCATGGAGATCCAAGAGCATGGTATGTACTTTTATTATCAATTTTTTTTAATTTTTTTTATGCATACTTTTTTTTATATAATTTTTTTATTGAAGGCAGTTTATTGGTGAAAATTTTTGGCATAACTTAATTTCCTTTAGACCTACAACTTTTGGCTGCGCTGAGCTGCACCTGAGGTATATGGTTTTTGAATAAGGAGTATGTCCTTATTAAGAGCTATAAGTTTCATTTGCATCTTGCTGCCTCTTCTTGGCTTAAAGGGGTGTCAAAGTATGCATGTCCATAGTATTGAATTTTTAATTTTTTTTTAAGTTCAGCTTTCATATTGTTTTAGGTACATTTTTCAAATGTTCTGTATCGAGGATGACAATTTTTGATATTTGGCACTCTAAAGTGGGTAATCCAAATGAAAAAATGCAACACGTCCTGAGCACTTTGACCGAAACATCATCCCTTTCTGACGACATCGAAAATATTGATTTAGAGACTTTAAGCCTTAAAATTAAGAATATTTGTAAACGAATTTCCCACTACTGGGCAAAGTCGAATCGTACTAGATCTAAATTCTTAGAAAAATATTCAGATTGGCTGCATGTCGTTGAAAATATTGACGTACAGCGAACTGAGTTACGTGTATCTCAGAGCTTTGACGAAGTTAAACCATCAACTTCTTCATCGCATGGCCGTCCGAGAATTAACTTTGACGACACCAGTAAACGTACAAAAAGGAGAAGATTGGCTAGTTTGTCTAACCAAGACCCTTCTCTTGTACAGTCATTGCTCAATGCGTCCGATAGCTTGTCTTGTCCTGAAATCGATTCTAGCGAAGTTTTATCGCTCATTGTTGAAGCTCAGTTAACTCGACATCAATATATATTAGTAAAGAAATTTATAGACAATAAGTTTTCAAAAACCATTTTCCCATCTTACCAAAGTGTCGTGGAATCTAAAAAACACTGTTATCCTTCAGATATTACTGTTACAGAATCATCCGCCGAAGTCGAACTTCAAAGTTTATTAGATCATACTGCCAATCGGATTCTCAAGTCTCAAAAAGATGTTTTGGATAGTGTACCTAATGAGTCTCTAGATAAGATATCTTTGATAGGGAAATGGGGTTTCGATGGCAGTACAGGGCATTCAGAATATAAACAGTGTTTTTCTGACTCCACTCTTGAAGACAGTAGCCTGTTTGTTACTTCGTATGTGCCACTTCAGCTTGTTTTGACAACAGATAACAAAGAAAATTCAGTAGTTTTGTGGAAAAATCCTCGTCCTTCATCAACTCGATACTGTCGTCCTATACGCCTCCGATATTTGAAGGAATCGACTGCAGTGTCAGTTGAGGAAGAAGCTCATTTTAAAGATAAAATAAGGAACTTGCAGCCTACTGTTTTCAAGGAAGAAGATCGCGAATATCGCATTACTCATTGTTTGCAACTTACTATGGTAGATGGTAAAGTGTGTAATGCACTTAGTGGTGTTTCTTCATCAAAATGTTTTATTTGTAACGCCTTGCCCAGTGAAATGAACAAAATTGACGAATGTTTAAATAAGGAAGTCGATGAGAGTAAATATGAATTTGGTTTATCACCTCTTCACGCGTTAATACGTTTTTTTGAATATTTTGTTCATGTCGCGTACAAGTTAGATGTTAGGAAATGGCAAGCTAGGTCCGCTAATGACAAAATGCTTGTTGCTGCAAAAAAATCATATGTTCAGACTCAATTTAGAGAAAGATTAGGGCTTATAGTGGATAAGCCTAAAAGTGGCGGAAGCGGAACATCAAACGATGGTAATACAGCCAGGCGGTTTTTCTCGAATTCAGAAATTTCCGCTGAAATTACTGGGATCAAGAAGGATCTCCTAGATCGTTGCTGGATCATCCTTCAATGTTTAAATTCGGGATATAATATTAATAAGACGAACTTCGAAGAGTTCGCTTTAGAGACGGCTCGGCAGTTAGTTGCCGAGTATCCGTGGTATAACATGCCTGCTTCCGTTCACAAAGTTCTAATTCATGGTGCTAATGTTATAGATTACGGTTTGTTGTCAATCGGAGAGTTGTCTGAAGAAGCAGCTGAAGCGACTAACAAATACATCAAGTCTTTTAGAAAAAATCATACGCGTAAAATGAGTCGCATTGTGACCAACACAGATTTAGTAAATAGGCTGCTTCTTCATTCAGATCCCTTCATAACAGGTCTACGAAAGTTACCTGTTAAAAAAAAAGGTGTACTGTCAAAAGCTGTATTAGACTTGTTATGTATTTAAAGTTAATATTGTTGAGATTTAATGTATTTTGGTATAATTTGTGTTTTGTTTGTATTTTGTAAAATGAACTTTTTTATGTATTTTTATTGTTTTAATTTATTCATTTGTGGTTATTGTTAATACAAATAAT